TTAAACTCAAGATCAACAATTACCAATCATAGTTTTTTTTTTTTTTACAATCCTAAATGCAAAATGTTATATAACAAATAAAATTCCAGAAATGCAACAGAGGATATACATAGCCTGGAAATCTCTTGACCTCATTAATTTTCATAAATATCATGCAGGCATCATGATATTATGGTATAATTCACTTCATATCCCAATGGTGTGACCTGGAGAATGGACTTAGAAGTAAAACAAATAAACCTCTAAAGGGTTAACTTTGGTTTTGATCCCTAGAAAATTTTGTAAACTTTAGTGCCAGACTCACTAGAAAAGCATTTTATAGATTTTTTTCTGATCTCTCATTGTTTTTCTTGCAGAATTTTTTTTGTCTTTTTGTCATTTTTATTTTTCCTCTCTGCAAACAAACAGGTCTCAGTCACGCATGTCTGAAATAATCCCAGCATAAAACATTATTTTTAGGGTTTAGAAAGAGAAAACCTGTCTGAAAATAGCCCTGTGCTTTACAGAGAATGTTTGGTTTGGATGATAGATTGAGTTTAGAAAAGATGGAGGACACATTCACAAGACTCAATTATAGAAGATCTTAGGACTGATAGTAACCAATAGCTGGCATGACAGAGCCAAATTGAGGATTTAAACAGTATACTAGATTTGCAGTGCTAATTCTTGTAAACATTTCCCCCTGTTAAATCTTCCATTGAATTTAGTAGTCTCACACACACCCACACACCCACCCCCATACCCACCCACACACACATACATTTCAGCCAACAAGCAAACATAGACATAGTGCCTGTGATAGATTGACTAGTTTTGGCCCCCATAAACTCATCTGTTTGAATGTTTGGTCACAGGGTATGGCATTATTAAGGGGTATATAGCCTTGTTAGAAGTGTGTAACTGTGAAGGTGGGTCTTTTAATTCTTAAATGCTCAAGCTAAGCCCAGTGAGATAGATATCTAGTCTCCTCCTGGTGCTTTCTGATCAAGATGTAGACTCTCACCTTCTCCAGCACCATGTCTGCCTTCATGCTGCCATACTTCCCACCATGATTATAATGAACTGAACCTCTGAAACTTTAAGGCATCCCTAATTATAGGCTTTCCTTTATAAGAGTTGGCATGGTCATGACATCTCTTTACAGCAATGGAAAGCCTAAGATAGTGCCCTTGCTCATAGGTAATGTTTAGGGATTTTGATATTAATGCCCTTTTAATTTTTAAGACATGCTCAGATAATATAACAATTCTCTCCTTATTCTTATTCTCTTTCTGTTGCAGCTGTGACATATTCTACATGTCTGATAGACTCTCTAATATCTTCTGCGGGATGAGTTCTCACATTGCTGACTCTTTTTGTTTCTCTTGCATCAGTGATTCAAGTTTAGAGCTATCTTAGAGTTTCTATTGCTGTGATGAAAGACTGACCAAAAGCAACTTGGTGAGGATAGGATTTATTTCAGTTTATACTTCACTGAAGGAAGTCAAGGCCTTGGAAGCAAGTCCTGAACAGAAGCCAGAGAGGAGTGCTACTTACTGGCTTGCTGCTATGGCTTATTTTGCCTACTTTCTTAAACCAGTCAGAACCATCACCCCAGGGGAAGCACCACCCACAGTAGGCTAGGCCCTATTATATCAATCTATTAATCAGGAAAATGCCACTCAGGTTTGCCTACAGCCAATCTGGTGTGGGTGTTTTTCTCAATTGAGGTTCCCTCTTGTCAAATGATTATAGCTTGTTTCAAGTTGACATAAAACTAGCCAGCATATTGGCTGACCTCTTCATTGACTTAAAGAGTCTATAGAGAGAGACTGCTTTCTACCTTTACTTTGCTATCCAATACACACATTTTGTTTGCCTAGAGCTCCCATACTATGAAACAGTTACTAACTCCCCCTGGTAAATTTTTTCTCTTGCTGTCTAGAGACAGGAGTGATTAGACAGTACAGCATCTTAGGCTAGTCTTAAGTGAAAAACATCTAGGCTTTTTGTGATATGCTAGTACTGGACCAATAAAGCCACCCCTTTTAACAGATTGTTGATAGGTCTCAAGGAAACTTGGAACAAGTTTCACTCAATATCTGTGGTTCGTCCTAGTACCTCTCACTCCAACTGCTACCCTAAACTTCTCAAACACAGTGGCTGGACTTCCCTTTCCCCAAGTTTTGATCCCTATATATACTCTGCCATTTGCTTTATCTTGGTCCACATAGTGTCATGGCTCAGGGATGACTGTGCTTCTGAGTCTATCTTTGTCTGCTTGGCCTCATCTCTTGCTCTCCGCACACTCCTTTCATAACTCAGTTAAGTCTGCTGGCCATGTTCAGCCTGGACTCTTCCAGATTTCTCTGGCTGTTCTCTTCCTCAAATCTACAATAAGCCTTCTCCTCAACCATACCTTCAAGAAGTCATGTCCTTATTTTTCATTCAATTGGAAGTCAATTTTCATGGAATAGGAGTTCTAACTTTCTGCACAGGTCACTGTAGACACATTTCATTTCTCAATCTGGATCCATTTGTAACCTAGTTTGTGCAATAAACACTGTGTCTATAATATTGAAATATATGTTAACCCAGAAAATATATAAATAAATATATATCTAGAATTTGTTGGATATATGTATATATGTGTATATATGTATACATACATATATACAATGTGTGTGTGTGTGTGTGTGTGTGTGTGTGTGTAATTCACTTGTCATGTCTTACCCCACCTCTACTTTCAGTCAGGTATCTTTTTTGGATTACCTTACTTTGCCATTGTTAGGGTAAATATTAGTCTACCTTTCCTAAAGTGAAGTTTTGGGAGCCAATTGAGATGATAAAATTAGAAGTTCTCAGATGCATGAAGGATAGTATTTTGTTTGTTCCATAAATTGCACAAGATTCTACAGGGTCTCTGATTATTCATACTGAGAAAAAAAAACAAAGCTATAATTCACCACAAAATAGTTGAAATAAAATTTCTTACCAAAGAGTTAAGTAAAAATTTATTTAAAATTAATATTTTAGTTTGAAACCTTTATGTATTTTAAAGGTGAACACTGAGGATGGTTGATCTACACTACGTTATGCAAATTTAATAAACGATGGGCAGATAAATAAAAATATTTTAGCAGAATTTGGCCTTTTGTTATTAGAGATAGTTTACTTTTATACATTTTGGAGATACTTTTTTTTTTTCAATAGTACAAATAAGTAATTCCAGAAAGCAGTTGAGAAGGAGAACATTTCAAAACAAATAAAGTGTGGAGGTTGGAGTAGGTTTGTTGTAGAACGAATAATAAGCATGATGAATAAGAAAAGTATTAGTTGACTCAGATAAGTAAGGTGATAGAATCTGTAGGAAAAACCGATGTCATTATAACCTGGAACATGCTCAAGAAATTTTCTTAAAGATTATTTTTGAATTTAAGTTACAAACCTCAGGGTAAGAGAAAGTATCACAACCCTGGTTATCAGCGTTCAGCCTCCAGGTTTGGGAATTTTCAATGTTCCATGAGGATCTGTTTATAGTAAGGGGTGGGGCACTTAGTCTTCTAACCCAGCACCAAAGAAGCATTTGGAAGATCTAGGTAAAGGAAGAACCTATTTTGAATGTGTTCCTTGTTTGTTTTTGATGCATTATCAAGTGATTTAGGTGCTAATGGTTGAAGGGTAGAAAAGAAGATGGCCAGTTTTCTTATATACAGTTGTAAGAAAACATATTTGGCTTTTATTTCACTTGTGTTTTCTTCTCAGTCTCAGTTCACCTGATACTACCTTGACTGCTACTTATAACCTATATGTTTTTGTCAAAATGTTATATGCCTGTGAAAAGAGGTGATGGTAAGCACCCCTTTAACCCATCCTCCTCACAAAGTATGAGAGCCCTTAAAGTTGAGGATAGTATTATGTGAGGGGTGGGGAGCCCATCAATGGGACATTCTTCAGGTCATTGGCTTCATTTTTTACTTTCACACTAAGTTATTGAAAAGGTAAATAATCTGAAAACTTCTTAGTCATTGAATTGTTTTTATTGTAGGCAAGCTGGAGAGTACTTTTTAAAGACATTAACGGCCCTCCAATCATGTTGAATTTGAAAACAACAAATTCAATTTCAGTGGTGTATAGTTCTCACAGATTGGCTAAAAGCATGAGGCCCCTCCCAAAGAACAAAGACAATGCGCTTTGAAGAGTCCTTAAGTCAATTTCCTGAAAAAAAAAAAAAATATGTTGATGCATTAGTTCCCCATTCAGGAAGCTCTTCCATTTCTTTCTATCTCAGGTCCTGTAGTACAGCTTGCTCAGGAAAAAGGAAAGCTTAACACAGAGAGTAGGCATTCACATCTAGCTAGACACAGTGAAGAGAAATTTAGGGCTTGCTTTACATTTTGTGAGATTTCACATTTGCATTTTTATCACCCAGTTGTCCTTCAGAGGGAGAGCAAAAGCTGCTGTTAATTTGAGAAGTAACTTAATATGGAGCTGGAAGGTGGAGCTGGAAGGTGGAGCTGGAAGCTCCCGGGCTCATTCTGGGTTAGGAGATTGTTATTTTTCTACTCCTTCCACAACAGCATTCCGGATATGAATTGGCTGGGAAGAGGGCATAATGTCGCTGAGTGGGAAACCTATCTTTTCTCTAAAGACCACTGGCTAAGAAGCCTGGGGAGACACATAGGACGCCTTTTAGAAAAATGGTCAATCCCTGCTCCCTAAGAAAAGAAAAGCCACGTGACCCAGAGGCATGTCCAGGGAGCAACCCCAGGGCAACCTTGATCTGGCTGGCAACAGAGAAGACTTGCTCGCACTGTGGCCACGGGATTAGTGCCAAGACCCGCAGAAGTCTAAGACGCCAGAGCCTTCACCATCTTCCGCCGCCTTCCACCGCCTGGCCTGCAGACCTCTGACTTGTCTTGAAAGGCGCCACCTCCTGCAGCCTGGGGCGGGGCTGGGGAGGAGCCAGCCTGGCTGCACCAGGGAGGAGGAGGCTCAGGGCGCGGGCACGAGGCGCGGGAGCGGGCGCGGGCACGGGCGTGGACAGAAAGCCCGGCGAAGGTTCACTGTGTGCTTGCTGTCTCTGCGGCTCCTGACCACCTTCTTAGAGCCAACCATCCCAGCTGGGCGAGTCCCGCTGGGCTCTCGGTGTGCAGAACAGAGCCGCTAGGGTCGAGTTCTCCGTGCAGTGTGCTGCCGCTTCTCTGGTTGGAAGGTCTGGCTCTGGGGCTCTTTGGACCCTCCTGACGCCCTCGCCTGCGTCAGGGAGGGGGCCAGTGGGACCCGAGCATGGCTTCGTCAGGCAGCGGCATGGAAGAGGTGCGCGTGTCAGTGCTGACCCCGCTCAAGCTGGTCGGGCTTGTGTGCATCTTCTTGGCGCTGTGTCTAGACCTGGGAGCCGTGCTGAGTCCGGCCTGGGTCACCGCGGACCACCAGTACTACTTGTCCCTGTGGGAGTCCTGCCGGAAGCCCGCCAACCTGGACATCTGGCATTGCGAGTCTACGCTTGGCAGCGGTGAGGCCCCCGCGCCGCGCCCCTTCATCCCGCGTGGCCATCCAGAGCTCCTCTGCTGCCAACGCCTAGCTGGGGCTCCTCTCTTCTCCCCTTAATCCTCCATTCCCTCTCCTTTTCTGGCCCCTCTCCGACCTTTGGGCCCCAGGACCCTCCTCCATGTACCTTTCTTGAAGGGGTCCAGGTAGCCAGCACTCCAGAGACCTCCCACACCCTCTCCTCCTCTTTTGCTTGTCCCTTCTGCTTTAGAGTAACACATATGCTATTTTGGGCAATTGTTATCATTGAAGGCGAGAACCGTGTGGCTGTGTAAAAGATGCAACGTCTTCCACACACCCGTTAAAAAAGAAATGGGCAAAATGCTCAAAATCTAAAATGTGTGGGTGCTCTGCTTCAAACAAACCTTTGAGAGCAAGTTTTCCTATCGGCCCACATTTCTCTGTTCTCTTTCACTTTATCTGGGTTTTCCGGAATGAATTTTCATGCGCGCGCACGTGTGTGTGTGTGTGTGTGTGTGTGTGTGTGTGTGTGTGTGTGTGTGTTTCCCCTTTAAATTTTGGGGTTGGATCCTGAGAACCAGGAGAGACTGATGAATTTCCTTTCCTTTTTTGGCGACACCTTTGTTTCTTCTGAGTTGCCTTTCTTTCACTCCCAAAGAAACTCCCCTTTCTTCCAGTCACTTTCTCTGTGAGCTAGTTACTCACAGTTGCCCAAGTTGTGCTTTATTCAGCAAGCAGTGAACATTGCCTGTAGATGGGTAGAGTAGGCGGTAGCCATTGTGGCTACTAGCTCCAAAGGGACTTTATGGCTTTGTTCTCTTCCTCACCCTCCAGTTGTTTTTGTTGTTGTTCTTGCCCCTCCCCCTTTCCAGCAACCCAGTTATTCTTAGTAGGAATTTGCCAACTTCCATTTTCTTGGTGAAAACTATTCCCACTCGAATTCTGTTTCTTCAGCTGCTGGTGTGTGCACAGATTATGGAATGTAAAAGGAAGGCTTTGCTGATGCTCTTCTGTGCTGGCGCGCGCGCGCGTGCGCACACACACACACACACAAACACACTGACCTTAGAAACTCTTAAATTTCTTCTTGACAGTTTTATATCTTCTCTGAGACTATTTACGAAGCTTTGTGGAAACGTTTCAAGTTCCAATAAAGTTGAAGTAGCACAAAGGCCACAAAAAATATCTGACTTTTTTTTCTAGTAACGTTTTTTTGTTATAAGGGAAATTAGTTCACTTTGTTAAATTCCTTCTAGAAATTTAATTTTGTGCTTACAATGGCTTTTTCTTAGCTCTTACCTCAGAATACCTATTGAAGGTTTTCTTTGTTGATTGATTCGTAGTGAAGGGGCTGGCAGCAGGAGGTCAACACTTAGGCCTTTTAATTCTTTCAGGATTAGTTGTTTACAACTGAAGATAAAATAAATCCACAAAATGCCTTTCTTCAGTAACCAGGGGATCTAAATAAACTTTGAAAAAAAAAATCTTTTCTTTCCATCTTCAATAGAAACGGCAATTTATGTAGGAATGCCAGCTTCAGCAGGTCTCCTTAGCAACACAAATCTTTTGCCCCCTTTTTCTCTCTGTCTTCTGAAATAATAACCCTCTGATTGCATAAAGACTATTCAGATTGGTTGTAGAAACTAGCTTCAGCTTCCATTTGCTTTTCAGGCTGTTCTCCTTTTCTCTTGGCCTGGAATCTGGGGAATGGAGTGAAGGCAGTTCCAGTTTGTTTGCTAATTTTTCTATAATTGCTTCCATTACCCACTGATTTCAGCCACAAAGAAATTTGTAGCTGAATAACAATAAATAATAATAAAAAAAGATTTCTGCTGGACAAATATGGTGTCCATAGGACTGTTCAAAGGAAAAACCAAAGGTAGCACACTCCATTCCTCCCCTTATTCTGTTTTCATGCCCTTAAGCTTTAGATTCACTGTGCTTGAAAAACTACTTCTCTGCCTCTCCAAAAGATAACAAGATGAGTTATAAGCAAAGATGGTTTTGTTAGAAGTTATATGGAAGACGTTCTTGCATTTCTGTTGTAGCAGAAAAGTTGTGAAGGGAAGGCCTAAATTCAGATGCTCCTAAAAAATGTTATATGGACTTGAAGCTTCTATCTACCAGTGTTTTTAGACAAAGAGATACACTAGGATCAGCCCAGGAATTCTGTCCTTGTCTATTCCAATGGCAGAGACCTTATTCAGTCTGTTGTGGAGAGTAGCAAAGGATAGGAGCAAAATATTTTCCTGAATATTTTAAAATATCCACTTCATTCTCTCTGGAAATCAATTACTTTAGGAAAACCCACCAAGGATGGTTTTACAGGTCTTTCCCCAGGATCTTCAGTGCTCAATTAAAAACTTTTGTTTTGATTAGAAATAAAAATGTCATGTAGAGGCAAGGTTTTATTTCAAGAAGAAAAATTTCAAGAATGTTTTTCTTCTGAGGACAGCATTTTCTATTAAGGCCCAGTTTCTACTGAAATGTTACCCTAAGCCATTATTTTAAATTTGCATTTGAATTTTGTTACCAAATATGCCTTGTTTGCTGTTTGTTACTGGTTTTGTGGTTTTAAGCTAGAGCAGATCCCTGCCTCTTGTGTCCTGCTATATTGACTGTTGTGTCAGCACTTCTTGTATGAAGCAGTAATCTGTATGTCAGTCAGCCAGAATGCTTTTCACTAGATTCTCAATTGATAGCACTGGCTTTCATCTTTACTTGTAAGTTTTCTAAGAAGACAATGAGAAAAGAGTCACTTGGTTGTCACTGGTATGAAAGCCTGGGAATTTTGGAATAAGTAGTAATCACAAGGCTGGATGCTATAGAATTCTTTTCTAATTCTTTTCAGTACTTTTGGAAAGACTTTTACTACATCTTTAGTCTTATTCAAAGTGTTTATAATGTTTTAACCACTGCTTCCTGTTCAGTTTGATAACTTTCCCCCCTACAATATAGTAGTTACAGTTTCGCAGCCATGATAATTACAAGAGAATTCAGAATGCAGTTTCCCAAAATTCAACATTACACAGCTATGTAATTCCTAGGATGATTTTATGTCTCTGTTTAAAACAATTAATATGTTGCTACTTTCTATGAATCAGATGGCTTTTTATTGTCTGACTTTTGATTCAGCTAATAAGAGGACATATAGATAGCTCAACAAGCATGTTTAAGCAAGAGTGATTTGGGATTATAACAAGGGTGTGCTTATCTATTTTTTCCACCAACAAAACACTTGATCAAACAGCCTTTCAAAGAATATTCTTAGTATCATGGATGCACTGCCTTAAGAATAGCTGTATTTGTAGCATGAGTCATTGGTAGTTTTGAAATGACAGAGCATTATATGCCAAAACAGGTGAATATTACTATTTTCAGTTGACAGATTCTTTCAAGAGGACTTACATGTAGGATATATTTTTAACTGTAATATAAAAATTCCCTTTAAAGCTTTCTTGGGTGTAGTTTAAGATAAATGGAACTGCTTGAAAATCTGGAATTCATAGAAAAGCTAATATGCAGTGATTCTGTGTTGAGTTCAGATCCATGTCACTTGTGCATATTTTGTGACTACATCTTAATTTGGAAGTGGAATTTTATCAGGAAACCTAACAATGTGATTTGGTTCAGGGAAGTTTAGTTGTTTCCAGAGATGAGTTGACACTGATGAATGTGTTTATAGATAGCAAGCTGTGTAGTCGCTACAAGCATACCCTCTTCTACCTTCTAAAAGAACAGCATCAGGACAAATGCACTAATGGGTGGGAAGGTACCAGTACTAACTGGCACACAGTCTTAACTAATAAACCAAAGAAAATACAGGATCAATTAAATCAAGACATTCATGAAGATTTAATGTCTTTTTGTATTTCAGATTCCCCAAAAGATATTTTAATGTGTGGTCAAATAGAATCCTTCTTTCGCTCACATTCATAGAATGATTATAATCTCCGAGAGTCCTTTAGGCTTTGATAGAAGTTTGGTAAGGGTTTGGAAACTGGTATTGCAAAACACCAGAAAATCAACATTAAAAAAAAAAAAAAAAAAAAAAAAACTTTTCTCAAGTACAAGATCTTTCCTGTTGACAGGAATTACATGTCAAGATTTTGTTCATTTCAGTTTATTAATTAGACAGTTTAGAGAAACCTAAGATATAACCAATATTTCTAGGCTCCATTAATGAAAATGCTTGTAGATTTCAAAGTAAGTCTCCAAAATAAGCTTCTTTATGAACTGTGCTAAGTTATGGCATGGTCTAATGGTAGGAAAAAGTATTATTTTGAAGACTAAGTGAGACTTCAGCTTTCTTCTGATCAAATGTCAGCTATTCACCAATCATGTCAGCACATAAAATGTACTTAACTTCCTCAGGTGGCATGGCATGAAGATGAAATGTACGAAACATTATTTTTTCCTTCATGTTGTATCATTAGAAAAGCAAACTCAAATGATATTTTCCAGTGGTAGTAATTTTCACTTATAAGTAGTTTAAGTTTTTTCATGGGATAATGATGTAATTTTCATACCCGTTTTATTTATTTATTTGTTTGTTTACATTTATTATTATTTTATTTTTTACACTTTATTCATTTTATGTCCTAACTGTAGCCCCTCCTTTAACTCCTCCAGGTACCATCCTCTCTCCCTCTCTCCCTCTCTCCCCCTAGCCCTTTTCCCTGGTCCACTGAAAGAGGATATTCTCCCCTGCCATCATATCAGATTTAAATATTGCTCTGACTTATTTAGCATTTAACAAGGCCCCTTGTAGGTCATGGTCAGAGAACAATTATCTTAGTAGCTACATTTGATTCGTTACTGTTAAAGACCAGATATTTCACTTATTCCCAGGGTCACATTAATGAATGTACAGTGTTACAGAGAATACTATAGACTTCGGTAACTTTACCAGGGTCTCAGTTGTGATAGAGATGAATTTTTACTCATTTTACATATTCCAGGAAACTAATTGTACCAAAAATTAGTAGTGTAAAATAACCATAC